TAAAGGAAGTCAGTCAGGATTTTAAAAAAAAAATGATCAGAACACCAAACTTGTCATTCCAGAAGCAGCCATAGCAATGGCTTCACATACTGCTTTGCCAAAAGAGACTTAACCTATTTTTCCAAATATAGAACGGGCAGAATGTATCCTTCTGTGTCAGTGCATTCAACTTTTTTTCAATTCACTTTTATCACTTGGGCGAAGTTTGTTTGCAACATTCTTATGTGTCTAAAGATATTCTAAGTACCAAGTTGGACGATATTAAGACTTCCACTCCTGAGCAAACAGAACCACAGAATTGAAGGGAACTTTAGAGATCATTTGTCTAACCCTTACCTTAACAAGACCACCCTCTACAACTTAACCTCCATCTGCCTCACTTTCTTCAATTACAAAATGGGGTTAATAACACCTACTTCACAGGGTGAGCATGAGGATCAAATGAGGTATTTGTAAAAGCGCTTAGCATAGTATCTGACACACAGTTGGCACCATATAAACGTTTATTCCCTTCCTTTCCCTTTTCTTACAGCATACCTGAGAAGTAGTTTCTAGCCTAGACATGGAGACCTCTCCTAAGGAGGAACCTGCTACTTCCCTAGGCAGCCCATTCCATTGTGGGACACTCTGATGGTCAGAACCTTTTTCTTCCATTGGAACTGCAGCTGCCTCATCACCACTCCCACCTTTGGATCCCAAGCTCTGCATCCCTGGAGGGCAAACAGGACAACTCTAATGCTCTTCCAGAAGTAATGAAACATAGCTATCTTGTTCTCTTTAAGACTTCTCTTCTCCAGCTAAGAAAACCAAGTTCCTACAACTAATGTTTGTATTGCAATGTTTGTATTTTTCACTCTCCTCATGCTGGTAGCTCTTCTCTAGATGTACTCAGGTCATCAATGGCTCTCCAAAAACGTGGTGGCCAAAAACTGAACTCAATCCAGATATGGTTTGACTAACGCAGAGCAGAGAAGTGCTCTTACCTCCCTCTTTCTAGATTTATTTCATGCAGCCCAACAACACAAAACTTTTCCTAGATGCTTTGTCACATTGTTCCCTTATATTGAGACTATAATCTGAAAAATATCTGGGGGCTCTCGCAGATTAACTCTTATTTAGCTATCCCTTTCCTTATCTTGTATTGATAGAATTGTTTTTAAAATTCATCTCACAAGTTGTCCATTTCAACTGTTGAGTTTTTCCAGATCCTCACTCTGTTTCCCAAAGTGTTAACTATTTTTCTCAGCTTTGTGTCATGTGAAAATTTGATAAGCAAACTCTCCATACCTTCATCTAAGTCATTGAAAAGAGGTTTTAGGGGATATGACAATTTACTGAAAGATTCCACTAGAGACCTCTTTCCAAGCTGACATGAGTCTGTGGAAATCCACTCTTTGTAGCTGATAATTCAAACAGTGCCAAATCAAATCAACCTCTGATCCAGGGCCTTTCTTGATTTTCCTGCCCCCAAATGATTTGGCACTTTCTTTGCTTATATTTTGTACTTATTTACCTGAACATATAGTGTCCCCCAATGAGAATGTAGGCTCCTTGAAGTTGGGAATGTTTCATTTTTGTCTCTGTATCCTTGGTGTCCAGTACAGATGACCAGACTATAGTAGGTGCTTAACAGGTCCTTTATAAATTAAACTTAACTGATTTATCTTTCCCTTGTCTATGAGGACAGCCATCATTTGCTTAGCTGAAATTAAGGTATACTACTGTCTATCAAAATTTTATATACCAGTCTAGGAATCCAACTCTGCCAGGCAGCTAGTTTGGTCAGTGAATCCAGCACAGAGACTATAGCCAGGAAGACCTGAGTTCAAATCTGGCCTTAGACATTTGTTAGCTGTGTGACTCCCCCTGCCCAAAGTCATGTGTAACCTCCATCTGCCTCAGTTTCCTCAACTGAAAAATGGGATTAATAAAAATACCTACCTCCCAGAATTGTTGTTAAGGTAATGAGATAATACTTGTAAAAAATGCTTAGCACAATGCCTGGCACATAGTAGGTATTCCTTCCTTCTGACCTATTTATCAGACCATTTCAATTTTCAGGGCCTGTTTCCTCAGCTTATAAAATAAAGGGTTTAGATTTGATGGTCCTCAAGGTATTTTACAGCTCTAAATCTTTTATATATATATATATATATATATATATATATATATATATATATATATGTATAAATTATCAGAAGCGATTTGGCTTTTTATTTTATTTTATTTTATGTTTTAGTTAGGCAATGGGGTTAAGTGCCTTGCCCAGGGTCACAGAGCTAGTGTTATATGTCTGAGGCCGCATTTGAACTCAGGTCCTCCTGAATCCAGGGCCGGTGCTCTATCCACTGCACCACCTAGCTGCCCGCCATATATATTTTTTAAAATTAGATTCATCTGACATTCTCGACTATCTTTTAGTTATTACTACTTCCCTTTCTCAAAAGCTAACAAACTACACCTTTACATTCTAGAATTCAGCAAGGAATAAAAATCAAGCTCACTAGCCCAGAATCTAAAGAGTCCCTCCTATTACTTCCCCCCATACCCCTCCTTTTTTTTTTAAAAATCAATACTTCTACACATTTCTAATTTTGTGGTACATCTCCTTTTATGTCAGTGTGTCACTTCTTTTGTAGCCTAGGATACAGCTCACTTGGTTAACTGAATTCACTAAGGATAACTACGTTCTCTCTGAGCACTCCCTCACTTACCTTTGGTATCAACAACCTGACACAGCACAACATAAGGCGAGATGGTAAGGAAAAGAGATTCTTGCCCAAATTTATGTTAAAGACCTATAAGGACCTTGGGGAAATGGGCAGTTAGAGACCATTAAGTTTCATAGTAGGCATGTCCAGTACTTGAAGTCACCTTACCACATAAAAGGAAATTCCTCAATGTGGTATAATGGAAAGAGCAATGGATTTAGAGTCAGAGAAACCAGGTTCAAAATGAACCTCTGCTACTTTCTATCTGTGTGAGCACAGGAATGTCATTGCCACTGAGGACAATATATAGATGAGTTCCCTCATCTATAAAAGGAGGGGGGCAGACTAGATGACCCCAGAGGTCTCTGCCAGGTTTAAATCTGTGATCCTTTGACTTTATCTATAATTTAATTAAAACATAGTCAGTTCCAAATACTTAGGGACCAAATTTTCTAAGAATCTGTATTATCAAAATTTTTGTTTGGTCTTTAGCTCACCTGTCTTTAGGCTAATTTTTATATTACCTCCTATGGGAGAAGTGAGATAGGGCAAAAAGAAAGAGTATCAGTCCATTTTAAGGCTTCTCAGCAACTGTGATGAAGAGCTAAAGGAATAAGCACTATGGTATTAATTAGGCCATATTATTTACAGGTGAAAGGGACTCAAGCTATCAGTTAGCCAATTACCTACATTTTATAGAAGGAAACTGAGGCCCATAGAAGTAGAGGAAATGGCCCACGGTTACAGGTAGTAAGTGGCTGGGCCAATATTCCAACTTCAGTTGGCCAAATCCTCATCCAGTGTACTTTCAACTACAACAGTCTGGTTAAAATCAAGTTTTGATATTATAACTACAAATTACTAAAATATAGTAAACCACTCCTCTCGACTGCTACAGATTATAACTGGAAGTTGCTTATCCCAATATTTATTCAGAATATTTGCTGCAGGACTTCATGGTGTACAGAAATAGCTGCATGAATGTTTGAGTAGAAAAGTATTAGTGAAAATGTAGATAAAATAAAGGTGGAAAATTAAGAGATTTATTCTTAATAGGGAAAAAAAACAGCTGAGGGAAAAAACTAACTCAACTAGGAATATTCTCTTACAGAATTCACTAATCTGAGGGTTTTAGGTAGGCATCAGCCTTGCAAAGTATTCATACAGTAAGGGAAGATTCAATCAATAAGCATTTATTAAGTGTATACTGTCTGCAAGCACTGGGGATACAAAGAAAAGGCAAAAAACGGTCCCTGTCCTCAAGGGATTAACATTCTAATGGGGTTACAACATGTATGTGTGTGTGTGTGTGTGTGTGTGTGTGTGTGTGTAAATGTATGTGTGTTTATAGTCACACACAGGATGCACATAGAGTAGACAGAAGGTAACCTGAGAAGGAAAGGCTCGAGTAGGTAGGGGGACTGGGAAAGATCTCCTGCAAGATGGCATTTGAGCTGAGTCTTGAAGGTAGCATGGGATTCTAAAAGATGGAGGTGAAGATATAATGTTTAATCATTTTAGACAAAAACAACCCCCAACTATCAGGAAAAAAAATAATCAATTTTCAAGGGAAAATAACCAGCACCAAAAAGTTATATGTTCCAATATTTAACACTGCCTAATGAACAAACAGGTTGGTTTTATTTTTGTTAAAGTGTGTTATAAATCATGCAATAAGTACTTACCAGCTCTTTGCTCTTCCTCCTCCCCCCATCAAACTATTTCTGAAAATGTCTTTTTTTAATTTTTTAGGTTCACTCTATTTTTGCCTACAACTCAGACATCATTACTTTTCCCATCTTCTTCACTTAATGAAGGAGAACCCTTTCTACCAGCTCCTCTCTTTGTGAAGAGTCTTGTGAAGGAAATGGAAATGACTGTTGAGTATTATTAATTTGTATTTATCACATATTGTTTGCCTCACATTGGACCTGTGATTTCATCAGTGTAGGGACTTTCTGGTGAGGGAGAGCTTTCTACCAAAGCACATTAGCAATTACTCAGCAATTTAGAGCTCTGTAGAGTATGATTAAAGACAAAAGTAAGGTGGTCCCAAGGCCAAGTTCCTTAAAGTCTTTCTAGTTCTGCTGTTCCCTAATCCAATTTCTCCCCATTTTATTGGATTGATTCCTCAGTTGCTTCACTGCCTCATTATGGCATTAGAAGCACTGGCAGGTTACTTGTAGTAGGACACTTCAGAACTCCGCCATTCTTTCCCAAATGTAAACAAAACTTATGTTGTTTCTCTCTGGAAGGAGAAGCTTCTCCCCTCAGTAACAGCCATCTCACCTCCTTCTCCTTGTTGAGCAACACCAACTGGCTATCTGTGAGGATGCAATACTTCCGCTCCCATGTTGTTGTTTCAGTGTAGGGAGATTGGCCACATGACAGACGGTGAGTGGGTGGCCCTTTCACATCTGTATAAGAAAATGAAAAAAGAAAAGGAGTGACAGCTTGTTAGTGTGTCTAATTATCCATCACCGTAAGATTCTCTATCAAAACAAAATATTTAGGAAGGTATTTCTAAGTATTAAGTTCAAAGATTAAGCTTTATTTATTTGTTTGTTTTTTTAACACTTTAAAATATGCACGCAATCCGGACAAGGGAGCAAATCGACATTTGGGAGCGACCTAGGACTCAGATGTGAGAACCATATGGAAACACATTCATCTTGTATACTTTGTTCTCATTATGCCAAAATGAAAAAAAAATTACTCCCCTAAACTAAAATCAGGTGAAACTCAAAGTAAAAAAAAATAAGATAGAGTTGGTGTAAAAGTAGGAGGTATGCCTGGTGTCAGGACCACCTCAGATACTTATTAGCTGTGTGACCCTGGGCAAGTCTATCTCAGTTTCCTCAACTGTAAAATGTGGAAAATAATAGCACTCTCTTCCCAGGTTTGCTGTGAGGATCAAATGAGATAATAGTTATAATGCACTTAGCCTGCTACTTGGTAGGTGCTTATTAAATGCTTGCTCCCCTCCCTCTTTAGGACAGGAGTTCCTAACCTGGGGTCCATACATTTTTATTTTTTAAAATATTTTAGCAATTAATATAATTGCTTTCCTTTGTAACCCTGTTTGTTTCATTTTATTTATTTAAAAACATTATTCTGAGAAGGGATCCATAGACTTCATCAGACCTAAAGGAATCTATGAAAGCCATTAAGAACTCCTGCTTTAGGAGGAAGGTGCCACAAAGGGGGAGAGAGATGGGTTGTTCAAGTCAATCCAATTCAACAAACATCTTCTTTGTATGGAGAACTGTGACACTGATATAACCACTGCCATTATGGAATTTATGAGCTGGTAGGGAGAGGGCAGAAACACAAATATCTATAGAACAAAATAGCGGTGCAACGTGTTATGTAAGGTCCAAGGGAATCACTGAAGGGACTAGAGATCAGAAAAGCATTCTAAGAGTTGGGTGGTATTAGAGACAGCATAAAATATTAGGAAGAGCTTTGGACCTGAATTCAGAAGATCAGCATTCCAATACTAATTCTCCCACTTAATAGCTGTCTGACTTTGGGGAAAGTCAATTAGCTGCAACTTGGTTTCCTCACCTGTAAAAAGAGGCTAATAATACTTTTGTAAGAAAATGCTTTGTGAACATAAGGTGCTAAAAATAAATGTGAACTATTAATGTTATAAAGACAGACAAGATTTTAGCAGTTTGAGTAGAGATGGGTATAACAGACATAGAGGAAATTATCAGCAAAGTCAAGGATGTAGAACACTGTAGGACATGTTTGAAAGGACAGTGGTATGTACTCCAGTCTGGCAAGGGAAAATAGTATAAATAGAAGGTACCAAATCATGGCTTAAATGCCAAGTAAAAAAGTCTGAAGGTTGATCAGGAACAAAGAAGAAGCGCTGAAAAGCTTTGGGAGAAGAGTGACATATGCAAATCTATGCTTAAAAAAGATGAGTCTGGCATTAGTGTGAATAGTTTAGAAGGAGAAGAAAATAGATGTAGAAAGGAATATTAGGAGGTTCTTCAAACATTACGGTCCAGTGGAAATGACAACTTTATATGAAGGTCTTAGAACAGAAATACAAATGAAGGAATCAATGTAACAAGTATTGCAGAGGAAGAATTGTTGAGACTCAGTAATTAACTGGCTACCAATTGGATAAGACACGAGCAGGAGGGAAAGATCAATGTGGGCATGCCATGCTTGGCGGTCCTGTGCTGATGTCTCCCATGTCTCACAATAAATACCAAAGTGTGAGGGACTGTCTGATGTTGGCAGCTACCAGGTTGGGCGCTGTGGCAAGAGTAGGGTAAGATCTGGGTATTTTGGAAGTCAAGGCAGGGGCTGTGGTAGGCAGAGTAGTGGTGAACTGGGATGGGCTGGATACGGAGAAGCCCTGAGGCAGTGGGCAGTGCTATGTGAGATAAGCTGGGTGCAAGGAAGTAGCCGGAGCTTGAGCTTCTGAGGCAAGGGGCGGTGCCACATGGGAGTGGGATGGCAGAGGACTGAGTTCCCTTTGCTTAGTCCCCTCCCTATATGCAACATCATCCCCAGACGCCTCTTGTGACCTTCCTGACTTCCTGGGTCCCTTTGTGCAGCATTGACCCAGACCCCTCCTCCCAGTGTCTGAGTCTGACTTCCTAGGTCACGTACTCTGTCTATGCGCTAATCCCAGATGCCTCCTCCCTGTATCCGGTCCTAGCCTCCTACGTCACTCCCTCCCCCTTGCTGTGCTAAACTCAGACAGCCCCTTCCGGTATCTGACCCTACAATCATCGGCTAGTAAGCGGGCTGGGGAGGAGGGGCTAAGTAGGTACTTAGGAACGAGCGTGGTCAGATCACGCGCTCTCTCTCCTGGCTCCTGTTCTGTTGCTCTGGCCTTGCTGCTTGGGCTTGCTATGATGGCTTGCTGTGTTGGCCTCTGAATAAAGCTCTGGTGTTGGCGCCTCCCGATGGCTCGTCTCTGTGTGTTTATCCGGCTGAGTACTGAAGACTCGGAAGTGAGTATGACTCTGGTAGCATGCTCCTTATAGGAGGAGAGGGTACCGGCGTGCAGCCGGCAGAAGGTCGGCGTGCGGCCAGTTCACCAAAGTCCTTCAGAAACACCCTGAGAAAGTCCTTGTTTTAGAGCTGTTCGTTTTTCAGGTCTACTGGATTTTGTGTTGTTCATAAGCATGTGCATGTTCTGTGTACCAGTGGTGAGTGGAATCATCTTCACAAAAGTTTTTTGTATTTTTATGTATGTGTTTCAACCTCATGGTGGTCTCCACCTGCAGACCAGGGTTAGGTGAAGCAGCCAATTATTAGGGCACCTTTTCTAGCACCTTCCTCATGCCAGAAAGTGAGCAGTACAGTCCTTAAGAATGCTGCTCAGACACCTACTGATGCATACTGATGCTTCAGGCCAGTAAGAAGATGCCCCTATGCCCTGAACTGCCTGTGTGTAGGGTTGTGACTACAGTTCCCAGTGTATCTGTAACTGCTGCTTCGCCACTAGCCTGTAACCACAAGCCTTCAAAAGTAAAATAGTAACATAGCAAAATAGTTTAATGGTAAAATAATAAAATAGTAAAACAGTATGGGTGGTGAATTTTGACACATGGGTAAATTGGATTTAGGTGAAGTAGAGTTGTGCAAAGTTGTCAGCTTCACTCTGTCTTCCAGAATCATCAGAGTCCAGTGGCAAGACAAAAGTCAGGACAACTGGCAATGGCTCGGGATACAGTGGGGACCGTAGTGTGTTCAATGTCCGACCAAGCTCTAAGTGCTCCACAGTGCCTGCTTCTGCTGCCTTCGTGGCCCACTGGAATAAATTGTCCACATCCACCCCTTCCATCAAGGGAAGTCTTCACATGCTTGGGGTAGACATCCCCCTAACTCACTGACAGGTTTAAGGCCTGTCACTTACCCTCAACCTGGTTTAGCCCGTCTGCCAAGACGGTTTACCAAAGTTGTATGGGGTATTCAGGGGAAATTAGCACTTCTAGTACAGGGGGTTGCTGAGCCCTTTCCAGGACTGCCCATCAACTTTTGGTGTCCACCTGTCACCCAAGTCTCACCTGGCTCCAAGAAGTTGTAGTATGTGCAGTGGCCATTATAAATTGAATTCTTTTTCAACTACCTAATGGTGCCTTTCTAGGTGGTCTGGAACAGCTGCTGTGGGGCCCGAACCAGGGAGTCAACAAGAACAAAGTAGGATTGCTGAAGCACAGCGGAGGCTATGTACCATAAATCAGTTTATAATGGATGAAGTTGGTTAAATTTCTTTACTTTTTCACAGGAACAAAACAACAACAGAGAAACAAACTGACACAGGTTATCTACTTTCTTATCCTCCCAAGTTGTTGGTGTTTTCTTCTTCCCCAAATTATTCTATACTTATTCATCTCACATATAAAATGTTCCCTGCTTTGAGGTAGGGACCTTCTGGGTTTATAGTTTTAGTACAAGGATCAGTCCTAGTGCCCTGCATACAATATGTTCTCTAAATCTATAACCTTGATGGTTCCCTAACAGTAGAAGGTAGGCAATGGAAAGGAACATCATCGAGACAAAAGAGGTCCATTTTTGCTGTGTTAGGCTTTTTTTTAGAAGCAGCTTGGCATAGCGGAAGAAAGGGTGCTGGGTTTTGGTGTCAGAGGGCCTGGTATTTAATCCCAACTCTGCCAATGGTTTGATGGGTGGCCTTGGACAAGTCACTTAAACCTGGAAAAGATTGATTCTTTGGGGAAAGGGGGAGACAGGGAAAGAAATTCTATGGGTAGCAGCAGATGAGTAAGTAAAGTGAAAGGGATAGACCCCTGGATCGAGGTGAGGAATGGCAGGAAGTGATCAGAAGGAAAGGAGAAGGGGAACAAGAAGAGGGTATCGTTGGAGAGCAGAAGTTCACAGACCTAGAAGAAGAAGGGAGTTCAGGCCTGCAAGGCCAACCTCTTCATTTTACAAATGAGGAACCCAAGACTGAAAGATGTTAAGTGTCTTTCTCAGGGCTACAGAGCCAGGAATTGGCAGAGCAGGGGTCTGAACCCAGGTCTTCTGACTCCAAATCCAGCATGATTTCCATGATTCCATGGTGCTCAGTTCTGCAAGATGCTGAGGGGCCAAGTTCAATCATGCTGGCTGGTATATGACTGAAGTAGGGTGGGAAAGGTTGTTTCAGTTAAGCAGATTGGGAAATTGTATGGTCAAGGTATCAAAGCGATGGTTAACAAGAATTACAGAAGTTCCCAAGGCTGGCAAGAGATGGGATAAAGATCATGACCTTATTGGCTGCACAAAATTTTCTGTACTGCTTTTGCCCAAGCTGATGATCCTAATGGACCTCTGAGCTTGAAATTTCATGATTCTATCATTGATAAACTTTCTAATAAAACTTACAAAACATATGTTACATTGCCGCTAGAGGGCAGAAAAGCCTTAGAAACTATGTACACAGACT